TTATTTGTTTTTCTAAATTTGGTGCAGAATTTCGATGTGACCCTGAGGCAAAAGTTGTTCAGTTTATTTTTCTCCATAATATAATTTGTTTTCGGAATTGTTTGATTTTTTTTTATTTTTATTTTTTTGCTGGTACCTTCCCTGGTCATTGCATGGGCTGGCCACCCGGGACCCGGGAAGCCCGGCTGGTAGCATAGATTAAAATTTTATTTTAATTTATTTTTTTATTTTTTTATTTTTTAATTTGTTTAATTAGTTTTCGTTCGTTAGTTCACGACAGATGTTCAAGCGTGAACGTCACCAAATGTCACGGAACCGGGTTCAATTTTCATTTTTGGGTCGAGAGCTTAGTGTTTTTTGGGAGGCTGTTGGTTGTTCTTTTGTGGATTTTTTTTTTTATTTTTTTTTTAATGCTTTTGGTCGTTGGTCATTTAATGCTTTTGGTCGTTGGTCATCGACGAGTCTCTACTCTGTTTTTTTTTGGGGGGGGGGTAAGGGGTAGGTTTTCAACTTTTTTCTTGGTTTCGAAAGCAAGCGGCTCGTTTCGATTTTGGTTGTCGAAGAGTCAATTGTTTTTGGTTTTTGTTTTTGCCATGTCTCTCGAAACGCAAGCGAGTTGTCGATTTGATCGTCGACTCTTGCTTTTTTTGGGGGGGGTCAAAATCGAGATCGAGAAAAGGGGTCTCGTTTTTTCGGCGACTGAAGCCTCAATCAACGACTAAAACCTGAACTTGATTGATTTGACTGTTCTTAGGCAAGCGGGTCGTTCGATTTGCTCGTCTATCAGTCAACAGTGAAGTTCGTTTTTTTTTTTTTTTCTTTTTTTTTTTTTTTTTTTTTTTTTTTTTTTTTTTTTTTTTTTTTTTTTTTTTTCGTTTTTTTTTTTTTTTTTTTTTTTCCTCTCGCCTTTGTCCGCTCACTCTGCCTTGGTGGCGCCGGTGAAGGAGAAGTAGACCAAGCAGATGGTGGCGAGCAAAAAACAAGTGAGCGTAATTCAGTGGATAGATGTGTGAGTAGGGATGTATTGGCGTACTATTGCTGTTGTTGATGCTGAAGAAAGGATTTCTGAGTGATTCGGTGCAACTTGAAGGCAAGAGTGCAAGGGTAGTTCACGTAGGGGGGAGGACGGGGATAATAATTGTATTAAAAAATTTTGAACTCCCAACACCATAATCATAATCAGTGAGAAGGAAAGAAGGAGAGAGAGTGAGAAGGAGAGAAGGAAAGAGAAAAGGAAAAAGAAAAAAAGAGACAGAGCTGCACTCGCATTTCTTCTCTTGCTCTGCCTCGGTGGTGTGTGCCGGTTGGAGTGTGTGATACCTCATAAAAAATATAATATACCAAAACATATACTTGACACATAAAAATACATATTTATAACATTATAAAACTGCTTACTTATTTTAAAACACAATCATCCTTCTAATTATTTATGTTTGCATGTTTGTTCTGTGCGTTTAAAAAAAAAAAAAACAGAAACAAATTTTCTTGCGAAACTTGGTTGCTGAAATTAATGCATCATCAAGCACATGACATACGCATATACGTTTTTTTCCGATCGGTGGATGTACGTCCTTTTGATCCAATTCTTCAAGATTACTATCCGCCTTCTTTTGGGCGTCCTTCTAATACTCTTATTTAACTAGAATAAATATTATAAGGATTTCGAATTGCATATAACGTTGTTTTTGTTAAAAGTGAAATTGTTTTCATGTTTGCTTTTTATTTTAATTGTAAAATGACACAAAGAACTGAGTGAAAAATAAGCAAAACAACGACAGAACAATGGTTGTACATGAAAGCTTAGTAATAAAAAGTTTAAGGAAATGTCATTATACAAAATATTTTCAAAATTGCCTAAAAGGTTGATAACTCTCATGTTGTTTGTGCTTTAGCATCATTGATATAAAAACATTTGAAATAGTTGAAAATATAATACAAATTTTCACCTCGAATGTTCACACGTACACAAACATTGTCCAAATGTCAATACACTCAATAAACATGTCAACCTCATCAACGAAATACTAATTACAATTACTGTTGCAATGACTTTTCCAAACATAGAATCTGAAATTTTCATTAACTTTTATATCTAACCATGGACAAAATGTCAAATGTTATTCTAAGCCTTATATCAGGAATATTGTCTTGTGAGAAAGCGAATGGAGGGAAGTGACCTTTTGCAAGCAAAGATGCAAAACCTAACATAAAAACACCACAACTACAAGGATCCTCTTGAGCAGGAATCCCATCTACTGATGTATTGAAGTAGGATATAGGTTCCTCCACATGATATCTTTCGTGAAGATTTTGTCGATTAAACTCCGCTCTGAAAAATTGTGTCTAAAGTTCAAGGACTGGACCATAGTTAACACGATGGAAAAAGTCTACGAGGCGAAATTTACACTCGGAACGATCTATACTGACATAAATTAAGGCCCAATGATTTCCGAAATGGAGAGGGATAATTACTAAGTCAAAATCGAAAAGATTTATGCCCTTCACCCATCTCGTCCCTTCGGAGTATGCGATTTCAGTGGACTGAGCCTGTGACAATCTGGGAAAGAAAAAAAAATTTACAATATGCATAGACGGAATGCTACAAGAACTTTTATCTCTTGCCACTTTTGTACGTGTCGAATCCACCTTGATGAAGTCATTGGTGATTTGGACGGCTAGCAGGTACAAATTGACGACTTCATCATTTAACCATTTCCTATCCTTGACGATGACTATGATGTCTTTCTTTTCCACCTTCCACCTCCGCTTGTAATCGACAATGTCGTATTTTTCATTGTCTTCAGTGTTGCCCGTAATCATTTCAAGATACTCCTTTTCTTCTACGGTGAGGCGCACTGTTGCTAAAGGAATCTGGAATGAAAGGTCATGCACTGCACACAAACACATATAAACAACAATAGAACGTCTAAGACTTCATACAAAAGAGAATTTTTCGTCAACTGATATACGACGTAGACATGAGCTCATGTTGTTGGTTGCCTATCTGTTTCGCTATCAGTGTTGCTATCCATAATAGATAAACTGCAACCTTCGTGATGCAATTTCTTCCATTCTGTGAGGCTTTAAACATCCTTAGGGCAGCTGACTTCATAGATGGAAATGTCATAGGTGTACGACTTTTTTTTTGGGGGGGGGGGGCAATAACGGCAAAGTTGATAAAGCTTGCAAACCACGACAGATGATATTCTTCTCTCTCTTCCTTTGCGAGTGTACATGCGTCGTTTTTCACAGTTCTTTTCGTCACCCTGCATGTTCATCAATATAAAACGACCACACAAATGGTTAACAGGTATCCCCACTTTTCACCCCTAGGGTAACCTTCACCACCTTGAAAAGTGCAATGAGGATCATGTTTTTTTATTTTTTTGGTTTTTTTTTTTTTGCCCTGCTTTGTTTTTGGTCGAGGTTTGTATGTGTCAAGTTTGGTGTTTGTTGGGTTCCTGCAGATGGTTGTTTTGGGGAGTGGTGAAAATTGTGAAAACCTAGGTAGCATGGGTTATCTGGCTGGATAATCTGGTCGGATTATCTGGCCGGATGATCGGGGGGTAGGATCATCCGGAAATCCGGATGATTAAAAAAATGGCTAAAAAAAGCAAAAAAAAAAAAAAAAAAAAAAAAAGTGATATTGCGCATGCAAAATACAATAGGGCTACGTTCTTATTTCATGAAAAGCTTGATAGGGCCTGGAAGGGTTCAAAGGGGATAAGATAGGGAATAAAGGGGTTTAGAGGGGGGATGGAAAATTCATTCTATGATCGTTTATCTAAATATTATTTTCTTGTTCTGTTTTATTTTTTTTCTTCATATTTGTTGAGTAATCAAAGAAGACCTCAAGCCAAAAGTTGTTCATAGCATTGATATGAACAACATAATTTTTTTCCATATTTTTTTGGAAATTTTTTTTTTCAGTAATTTTTTTTTTTTTGCGCAGGGCCGGATTTTCCATATTCGGAATTAATCCGGAAATTTCATCCGGATTGAAAATTCCGGATAAAATTGGTTTGCCGGATATCCGGATTTGCTACTTAGCTGAAAACCGACAAATTGAAATGTTGGTGAAATTTCTTGAAAGTGCACTTTTGACTTGCTGTTTTATATGTTTTTAATTTTTTCTTTTCGTTTTTTGTTTTACAATAAGTTAGTAAGAAGTGCACTCTATAGATTGGTGTGAAATCTGGTTAAAATGACCCTTTTGTTTTCTTATAAATGGGGTTGAAAATTTGGGGGTCGGTTAACCTTCTGTCTGATTGACAAGATAAAACATTATGAGCTCAAGTTCGATTTTCCAGTATTGAAACTGACACATGAATACAAATACAAAATATATGATATTCCATTTCATTTATTCTCTTTCCGTATTGAAACTGACACATGAATACAAATACAAAATATATGATATTCCACTTCATTTCTTCTCTTGATTTAGCGTACAGTTGCAAAGCTAGGTAAAAAAATAGTATATCTGAGGGATTGACACTATCATACATAAGGGAGATGAGTGCATGTGATGTACCCACTAATCCGCATACAACATCACATATTCCTCCTAAGATAAGAAGGTGCTCAGCTCGATGACTAACTCTCATTTTCTCTTCAACACGACCTTCTTGCGCACCTTCCATATGCGATGGCGTAATAAGAGATTCCTCGATAGCTATCACGAGGTTAGCAGACTGTGGTGTTTGAGGTTATACAAGCGTTTGTTGAGGTTGTACACATGTATATTGCTCCGGTGTACTTAGTATTATATGTACTTCATCCTCTTCGTTGACCTCTACATGGACAGTTTCTTCCTCCTTTAAGCCCTCAAAAGTGTCGCTTGCACCTACAGTCGCATTCTTCGCCTTCCTCCGATAAAGTATTTATTTTCATAAGTGCATGCTCATTTTTTCTCGGCTGGCATCTTCAACAACGACATCTCTAATTCTATAAGTGTACCAGTATTATCCAGTTTCGTAGTGACACTGTCACCCACTAACATCGTGGCTGCCCAAACTTGGTCATCCGGACTTACGCCCTTGCCGCTTACACCTCCGCTTGGTCCCGAACCCTTGCCACTTGCACCGCCGATCGATCTCGATCCCACTGTCGGATTCGACTCGACCGTGAGCTTCTTCGCTTCGTCAAGCCGGGAGCGCTCCAATACGGGAACACTGTTATGTTCGACTCAACCATGGGACCCTTTGACAGTTGAACCACCGCCGCTTGGTCCCGAAGCCTTGCCACTTGCACCGCCGATCGATCCCGATCCCACTGTCGGATTCGACTCGACCGTGAGTTTTTTCGGTTGGTCAAGCCGGAAGCGCTCCAGTACTGAACCACTGTCGTGTTCGACTCGATCGTGGGACCCTTTGACAGTTGAACCACCGCCGCTTGGTCCCGAACCCTTGCCACTTGCACCGCTGATCGATCCCGATCCCACTGTCGGGTTGACTCG